TTGCAGGGGGTCAAGGCATCGAAAAAATCTAAAACCAGAACCATATGGTTTGTAGCACTGGAAAATTCAAAAAGGACTTCATTTTTGCAGGTTCAACTTGATCCTTGGCTTAATTCAGCATATTAAGCTAAGTTTTATCTAGTGGATACTAGATAAATCCATCCCATTTTGATGAATTACTCAAACGAGTCTAGCAGACTGTCAGGTGAAGGCTGCCATCCTTTTGGGAAAGGGAAACCAGCAGAACCAGCAGCTGAAAACTGTCTGAAGTGCCAGGCACAGAGGGATATGAACAGGGGAATGAAGTTGAGCTGGAAACCAATCACTAGTGGTGACTGGGGCTGAGAGTGGGACTGGCACTGTTTAACATCTTCATAAATGACCTAGACAATGGGCCAGAGCGTGCCCTCAGCAAGTTTGTGGCTGATACAAAGCTGGAAGTAGCAGTTGATACACCAGGAGGTTGTGCTGCTGTTCAGAGGGATGTGGACAGGCTGGAGAATTGGGCTGACAGGACCCTCCTGAAGTGCAAAAAGGAGAAGTGCAAAGTCCTGCACCTGGGGAAGAACAACCCCATGCATCAGTGCAGGGCTGGGGGGTGACCATCTGGAAAGCAGCTTTCCAGAAAAGGACCTGGATGTCCCGGTGGGCACCGAGTTGAATGTGTGTTCTGGTAGCAAAGGCAGCCAACAGTGACTTGGGCTGCATTAGGAAAAGCATTACCAGCAGCTCAAGAGGGGTGATTCTTCTTCTAGAGAGCACTGGTGAGGGCACATCTGGAGAGCTGTGTCTAGTTCTGAGCTCCCCAGTGCAAGAAAGATAGAGACTCACTGGAGAGAGTGTGGCAAATGGCCATGAAGATGATGAGGGACTGGAGCCTCTTCTGTAGGAGGACAGGCTGAGTGAGCTGGGACTGTTCAGCCTGGTCAAGAGAAGGGTCAAGACGGGCAACTTATCAATACTTGGTCTGGGAGAGGAGAAAAGAAGATGGATCCAGACTCTTCTCAGCGATGTCCAGTGACAGGACAAGAGGCAAGGGCACAAATACAGGAAATTTCATTGGAACACATGAAAAAACAAATTTAAAACCCCTTTTTTAACTGTGAGAATGGTCAAACACTGGAACAAGTTGCCAAGAAAGTTTGTTGGGTGTCCCCATCCTTGGAGAGACACTCAAAATCTGACAGATACAGCCCTGACCAACCTACTTTAGTTTACCCCCACTTTGAGCAGGGGTGGCTTTGGACAAAATGATCTCCAGAATTCCTTTCCCTCCTCAACGATGCTGTGATTCTGTGAAGAGCCTGACGAGGTTGATGCTCACTGAAATCTCTGGTACCTTTACAATGCTATTCCCTTCCAGGTCGTGTAGCCAGGAGTTATAGGATCATTTTCCAGAGAGTGATCAAAACAGTTTTGACCAACCAACCAACCAACCAACCAACCAAACAGAAAAGCAAATTACAGCGATGAATTTTATACCCAATGTTTTAATCTCGGATATTGCTCCACTGGCTGGAGGGGATTTAAACAAAACCAAAATGGACTTCTTGTTTTGCTCTACAGGGTTTTGTTTATTAACAAAAAGCTGTAGGATACTGTGAATAAAATAGACAGAGGGGGGTTGAGTTGATAGAGAATTCTTCATAGTTATTGTGCTCATGATTTGCCTGTAGATATTCCTGTAGATTTGGAATCATTATTTCCATTGAAGTGCAAAATTCATTGTGTTGTTGGCTTATTCTACATACAGGTTCCTGGCAGGGCTGTGATTCTTCCTTCTTTTTAGGATCATAAGAAGGATTACTTCATGGTGTGATGCTATTTGGCTGGCACCAGAAAGCCTGAAGGGCCAAATATTTGCCTTGCTGCCAAGAGATTTCTCTAGTTCTGCCTCCTCCTTATTTTAATGAGCCTTTTATAACATCTTGGTGACTGATTGTAAACAGCATTATCTGCCTCTGCCCCTGGTGATTTTGGCACACCCTGTGATTAGATAGTGATCCTATAGCAGCTCAAGGAATAGCCCCTCACAATCTGATTTTGTGACAAAATAATGTCCTCATTTACAGCAGAAAAATACCTGTATCCACACTACTTAACCCCCAATCTGCCTTTACTGGTGCCATCAGTGTTTAAAGCAGGGTGGTGGTCCCTCCTTTGCAGCAATGGGGTTGAAATGGGGAAGAAAGGAAGAGGGAAAATGCATCTTTCCCCATCTGGATCATTTTTTATTGTCTGGTATTTAGCCTGGGAAGAATGTTTCTCGAATTCAGGGCAGGCTGAACAAAGCCTGCCAGGTGTTTATTGAAGGAGGCAGCCTTTGGCTGTGCTGGGACACAAAGCAAAGCCCAGTGAAGGGTGCTGGGCTGTCCTGAACTGGAGGAATGCTGCGTACGTGTGGTACTGGAGGGGCAGGGAGGCTCAGCCCAGGCCCTTTTGAACTCTTGTTAATAGGACCTGTTTGTCATCGCATTCCAGCACCTGCCCTGATCCCTCTGAACCTCCTGTATCTCCTGTTTAGCAATGCTTCTATGCCCCTGAGCCCCAGCACCCCAAGGGCTGGAGGTGCTCAACTGGCCCAAGCAGCCAAACTGCTGGTTGGATTGTTGTGGTAGATGACAACGTCATGAATATAAATGCAAAAAGTATTTGGAAATATAAATGTAAAGTATCTGTAAATGCTCGGTGCCATCATAGCAAGTGGCTTTAGCAACCTGAGCTGTAAAAGCATCACTCAAGTGCCAGAGAACGGAGCCAGACAGCCCCATGGTTTTCCACTCCTGAAGCTGTAAATACAGGAGATTCAGCAAGTACCACAAACATCTTAAATTACAGAGTGCTGTTGATAAATTGCATCATGAGAAAAGAGGGAAAAAAGCAACTATGGGAATTAATGTTCTTAAGCTACGTGCCTGATCAAAAATAGCCATTAGATTCCCCAATGCCTCTTCAGTGGCTGCAGGTTAATAAGTTCATAAAACCTTAATAGTGCATGTATAAAGATATACATGAAGATATCTTGAATATATAAAAGACACTAGCTACACAAAGTTACAAAAACATGTATTTGGTGGTGTGGTGTTTAGTAGCCAAACTGAAAGATCATAGAGAATCTATTTACTAATTGGATCCTTATAATTTGCTTTGAAAGCATCCAAGGCACTATAAATTATTTTTCCTACTATCACCCATTAACATGAGGAAGCTGGAAGCAAAGAGACTGTAGAGAGGAAGGAGATAAAAGCCTGGGGTGTGTGGGGGGATCTACCTGGTCAGAAAGAACATTCCTTTTCATAAAGGGCCAGAGAGTTGTGAGTTTAAGGACAGGGATCCTCGCCCAGAGACAGAAACCAAACAACTACTGTAAAAGAGAGTGAGAAAAGCAGCTCCCATATTGCACCCAGCATCACCTGGGAGAGGTGGTCTTCTGCTGCAGCCTCTGTCCAGAGGAGGGGACTGAAGGGTCAGAGGAATAACTTGTCACTAGAGAAGCTGTGGCTGCTCCTCCCTGGAAGTGTTCAAGGCCAGGCTGGATGAGGCTTTGAGCAACCTGGTCTAGTGGAAGGTGTCCCTGCTGATGGCAGGGGGGTTGGGACTGGATGAGCTTTAAGGTCCCTTCCAACCCAAACCATTCTGTGATTCTGTGACTACAGTTAAGA